GAGTCGAGCTCCCTAACCACCTGGCCATGCCAGGCCCCTTCAATAGTGTGAAGAGTAAAAATGAACCAGCCAATAGTCAGTAGTTCTTATCCTCATTTGTCAATTAATTGAGAACATAAGTGTTATTAAATTGTAAAAATATTGTAAAGGAAATGGATGTATATACAAAATATGAAGGTAATAAAACCAGCATGGGGGGGGGGGATGAAGAGAAAGATAAAAAAAACTTGTAAAACAAATAAAAGACTAATGCATAAAAACCGGAATAAAAAATAAGGTAATGAAGGCCACGAATACACATAGATAACAGAGAGATGTGAAAATCTTACCATAACTTACAGATTAAAATATCAAATTATTAATGAGCATGAAAAGTAAAGAGAGGCTAAGAGAAGATAAAATTGTACAACTGGTTAGAAATCAAAAGGACGAAGGTAACGGTGGAGTAGATAGTAGAGAAAATATAATGAAGTTAGTTTGTATCTAAAATAGGATTACGAATATAACAGAGATCTTTGATGATGGGATCAAGATTTATGTCTTCACGATTAATTGTATTCAGAGTAATTACTCAGTAAGCTTTTTTTTAATTCTCTTTCCGTTTAAATTAGAATCATATTTCTACATTGATCAAGGATAAGCCATTAATAAGATGATTGAGTTGATTGAAGCGTTTGGCAACGATAAATTATTTTTTTGTTTGTAATGGAAGACTTAAGATTATTGTTAAGAATGTTTGTTTTGTTGTTAAGCGCAAAGCTACACAATAGCCTATCTATGCTCTGCCCATTGCGAGTATCGAAACCCAATTTTTAGCATGACAAGCTCTCAAACTTACTGCTGAACTACTTGGAATATTTTGGGTTTTTTCCTCATATTTAAATTTACATTTTTTGTGTTATATAAGAAGCATAATGTTGGTGGTAGAGCAGTTGATATGCTTATAGATGGCATGGTGCTGGTGATTTTCATTGTGACGGATTTTATTATTATATATTCATTTTAATATCGATGTTTGTTTGAATTAAATTTATATTTTAGAAATGTACATAACTTATACTGTTAAATATTTATTGCGAAAACTCTGCCTATTCT